GTTTATGTAGTATGTTAGACTAGTTTAAGTGTTTATGTAGTTAATAAAACCTTACTTGTATCACACTTGACGTTGTTCATGGTTTTCCCATAACTGGAGTCACTTAATCATGCAGATTTATGCTACAAGCTTTTGTAGAATTGTACAGTAAGGAAGTTATTTCCCTTAACCAGGAAATTAACGTTCTTAGAATTGACAAGACAGTTGACCCTGAGAGGTCAGCTAAATATCTACAGCGGATCTAAATATTCATAATTAATTATAACTAGTTATGATTAATTATTCATATTTCCTCATGAGCTGATTCGTTACACACTGCAGGAGTCAGATTTGACTGATCACGGGTTGAGAGAGATGACTGACAATGGTGGAGGATTTGCTGCTCAACAGATCCTGAGCTCATTGACAAATATCTGATCTTGTATGTGCTTACTTTACACAGAGTGCGATCGATCGCGAAATCGAAAGTGAAAGTGAACAGCGAGCACTCATTCAAATGCGATTTCAATACCCCACATATTGATAGCGGCTCTTTGATGTGCGGAAATTATATACAATATTAGAAAGTTTGCAGGAGCGAACGGGAGGTAAGAATTTCAGTGGGAGCGGGCAAAAAAAAAAACCTGTCCCGCAAAGGGCTCTAGGCTGCGCATAAATACACATGCTTTTTTTTTGCGCTACCCCATCTCCATCCCCAAACATTAGCGCTGTTTCGTTCTGTCTTTGACAGCACATATAGGACCATTTTTGAAATAGCACCATAAACAAAATGTAATTCAAATTTAATTCAAGCACTTTCAAGGACCTATGTTTGTTTTCAAGTACTTTCCAGGCCATGAATCCCTATGTCTGAAATTCAAGTACATTCAAATACTTTCAAGAAGCGTGGGAACCATGAACAAGATTTTGCTGTTTAAATCATAATTATATTAGTCTGATCATAATTTTATTTTGTCTCTTTTACACAGACACTTTTGCCAGTAAGGTCGCTGCCATCCAAGACCAGTATGCAGACGCATCCATTGGTAACGTGACGGGCAGCAATGCTGTCAATGTTTTCCTGGGCATCGGTGTGGCGTGGACCATAGCTGCTGTATACTGGCGTACCAAGGGCAAACCTTTCCACGTTGATCCAGGTTCTCTGGCCTTCTCTGTCACACTCTTCACTGCTTTGGCTGTGGTGTGTGTCAGCGTGCTGTTGTATCGCCGGCGCCCCTCAGTGGCTGGAGGAGAGCTTGGCGGTCCACGGACTTGCAAGATATTGACGTCCTTATTTTTCATCTCCCTCTGGCTGATCTACATCCTGTTGGCCTCACTGGAAGCGTACTGCCACATCACTGGATTCTGAGGCAGCGAGGCCTCATATTCTTTCAGCTTAAAGAGGAATATAAAAAATGGCCAGTGAAGGAGCATTTGTTTTGTATTAATTAGATATTTATATTTAACTTTTAAAAGGTCTGATAAGTCCATTTTTGTAATTTTTAATTTTCTTCCATAAAGGGATAGTTCACACAAAAATAAAAATGATGTCATCATTCACAGCTTTTATGTTGTCCCATAGGACACAAAAAGTTTTTTTTTTTTTAAGAAGTTTACTTTTTGAAAACTACATGAAGGTGAGTAAATGATCACAGATTTTAATTTTTTGTATGAACTGTCCCTTTAAATTAGTTAATGCAGTATCTTACACATCATTCCTTGTTCCCTTGCCTTAGACTTGTATACGTCTCTTAGTGCTGTCTTAAATCTATCCAAACCAGTAACCAATGACTCATGTTTTTTTGTTGTTGTTTTTTTTACTCCTGTTTGAGCCAATCCGAGCCTTCGGTTACTAAATGAAGGGGTTTCTTTTTTGAACTCTTTTTTTTTTTATGTTAAGTGTCAGTATTATTCTCATGTAACTGTAATGATAATGTTTTAAATGATATTTAAATGAACAGAATGACCAAACATGAACTTTCTATTATTAAGAGCAGACTGAACAAATAGGATGGACTTACTATTGCTTGTAAGAAGAAAAGCATGTCTCAGGACTATATAATAATCGGACAGATGGTCTGAAAAGCATCTCAAGTTCATAATTAATCATATATCATGAATGAATGGTGACATTATTGGGAAGTTAAATAGCAAAAAGGAATAAAATGGAAAATGGACTGAAATAATCCCAAAGAGGATGGAAGAACAATCAGAAAATAATGACAGTGATGGTGCTGCATATCATTAAGAATAATTCTAATTTAAATATGTATATAATGACTGTGTGAGAGAGAAACCACGCAACCAAGAATAAACAGCTCAACTGATGTTCTCTTGAAATAACAAACCATGTAATTGATACAATTAGCTGTCGATATCTATCTGTATTTCTCTTGTCTCTTGAGGGTCACACTCCTTGACATCAAATGTTCAATAGGAGATACTACCCTGTTAATATGATGTGACATTTGACATGGTGGCAAATGCTCTTACTGACTGTGTACTAAACTGTATCTGTTAGTTCACCCAAAAGTTGCCATTCTGACAGCATTTATTTACTCTCATATGATTCCAAACCCATATGACCTGTGGAACATAAAATCAAGCCGTTTAGCAGAATGTTTGTGCTGCTCTTTCCCATACAAGAAAAACAGAAAGTGACCACCCTTACAAAAAATAAGTATACTTCAAGTTAATTTTAAGTAAATAATTATATTTTCCAGGTATACCTCATGCAGTAAGTATACTAAAATCGATGGACTTGAACACTGCCTGTAGTGGTATACTTGTAAGTGTACTAAATTTAGACACTTTTTAGTTTATAAAAGTACTTTTAAGTGTAACAATAGTAAACTTTGAGTGTTATTTTACATATAAGTTTTTGTATTACAACTATAATGTGAACTCAAGTGATCTTAGTTACAGGTATACTTTTAGTTTACTACTTGTATACGTCTAGCCCACTTTTATGACATGAGGGTGCACAAGAACTGAAACAAACACTTTTATTTATCAGTGTTGGCTGTATTATCATGTTTGTTGCAGTGAATTTTTAATTGTCACTGTCTGTCTGTTTCTGACTGCTGTGCAATTATTCTGTGAGACATTCAGGAAGAGAGCACAGAAAAAGAGTGAATGAGACAGATTTAGCAGTAGCGTAGATATTTAGCCCTCAGAAGTAGCTTCTCTCCTCAGTCTAGTTCAGTATTCGGGGTGAGCGAATGTGCACCCAGAGTATTTTTAGTATTATCTTGTTGCTAGGCGAGAGAGTCATTGTCTTGTCTGGGCCCAGTGACGGGTGCTTTTTTTTGTGTGTGTGCGTGCGTGTGTGTGTGGGGATTAATTAAGGATTTTTTTTTTTTGGTGGGGGGGGGGGGGGGGGGGGGGGGGGGGGGGGGGGTGTGTAACATCCCATCACCTGAGTCTATTTAAGGCTTAAATCAGTGCATAAACCATCTTCACAACTTAACTTCTTATGCTAACCTTAGTGTAGTGGAGGTGAACTGAAAAGATGAGTTGAACAGAAAAGATAAAGTGGTTACAGAAAGATAATCCCATTGATATCAGTTATGGTCATGTAATTGAGTTGATTGAATTGATGATCATTAACAATCATGTCAGCTCATGCTGTCACAAGAATCAACTATCATCCGCAGTGAATCCCACATCAGATTGACATACAGCAGAAGAGTGTGCACGTCTTCGCTTTATAGGGTCACCGTTTTCTCTCTCTCTGCCAGGCTGCTCTTGAAGCACAATAAATTGAAGTGAAATCCCAAATGTCACACTGAAAAACAGCTATCGTAATTGGAATAAGCGGCCTGGCCTCAGAGAAAGAGAGAGAGGGCTGGGGAATGTAAACACTTCCCCATCTACACAGTTATACACATAGGCCTGCCTGATGAAATTGCATGTAAAGGTTATTGTGTTTATAGTATTTTAATACTGCAAGAGAGACTGTGTATTTGTGTTATATCTGCTGGCCTCTTAATCAGTTTTGTAATCCAGTTGTTTTAGTGCATGTCTAAGTAACGTGCGGAACAGGCTATTGATACAATACTGTATATACAGTATCTGACCACTTAAATTACATGTAGGAATGTCATTACATTAAATAAAATATCAAACCAAATGTAGTGCCCAGAATGATGCTAGAGCTTATAAATCTTTTAGCAATCACATTAACCATAAACGTGTCATAAATATTTTTTGCACTGTATATCTTTTAATAAATAAAGCTAGCAGACTTATTTTTGTTTTGTTTGAAAAATATGCTTGTGCTATCTTTCATTAAAGTAGGCATGAAGTGAATATTTAACATTTATTTTCTAAAAGCTTGTTATTTATCTTATATTGAATGATTCATCCATGCATACGTTTCATTTTTTTACTTAAAAAAATGATGACCCCATAATTTTTAGCTGGCTTTCACATCTGCCTTCATCCAATCAACAACCGATGGATAGAAACAAGTCCCCACCCTACATTTTTCCTTTTTCAATAATCCATTTGACTCCGATGTACCTCACAATACAGAAAAAGTTTTAAATTTTTTTACACTTTTTATATATATTATTCTTCACAAGTGGCCCAAGTATCCAAATGCTTTTCTTCACCTACAGATATATGCAGACAAGTTTTGGTTCCTGTCACTAACCAATCCTGCATACTGCTCTTGTGTTATAGAAGAAAAAAACAGATCATGATAAAAATGATAATTCTTGAGCATGTACTGTATGTGTGATTGTACTTGTGTTCATAGTGCTAGTATAGCTTTGACTTTGTGACTTGTCTAAAGACGATACACTAATAGAAGAGGTTAATATGATAAGCTAACAGTTCATATGAAGTGCTCTGAGGAAGCAGTCACCATGTCATCCTGTATCAGTGTGCATGTTGCCCTTGGCTGGACTCTGTTCTGTGTCATCTGGTCCTTGTGTGAAGCATTTCTCTGAACTTTCTGTTCATTAGTCTTATGATTATTCCTTCATTAATGATTTGATTCATTTCATTGTTCATTTTTCAGTGTTTTTCATAATGAGTGAATCATTAAGTGCTTTTCTTTTCCTTTTATATAGCAGATTTTATATTTTAATTTCTCATGATGTCTCTTGGTTTGATGCATGAAACATTCTCTTACCCTTGTTAAATGTTTTAGAAGGTATTGACCTGAAATCATTTTTTGAATGTCTTTTATTTAAAAAAAAAATTTAAATGGCTTATATCTTTTTAAGGAATGGGTGACTTTTATGTGTGCATAAAACTTCAGCAAAAAAAAAAACATTGTTAGCGACTGCTATGAATGAGTCACTGAATCATTCACTCAAACAATTTACTAACACTGATTCAAATGAAACACTGTTAATGTGTGTTGCTCGCAGACACTGGTGAAGAAAGACAACTGCTTACACATGAAATCTTTACTTGTCACAATTTCTGAAACCTGACACTCGAACACCAGAAACACACACCAAATCTGCAAAACCATACACTCATTCTTGGCCTTTGTCTCAGTTTTCAATTTCATAAAACACTTTTTGCAAAACACAACACAATTCTCTATGTAACACACAAAAATCTAACAGGAAGTATCTTGATTTCCTTTTTCAAACACAACCAATCAAAATGACACACTAATTCATCAGTGCCTCACACTAACTCCTCGCAAACACTCATTGCTTTACTTCACACCAAGCAATCATGGCTTTAGAATAGGTCTATAAATACACATCTACACATGGTGGATGGCTTTCTTTTCTTTTGTACTGTGTAATACTGTATTCACAACCACAAATGCTTACAGTAATAAAAAAAGATTGGTTTCAATCTTGCTTTTGTGTTTACCGTGAATTTTTCAACATCTCTCTGCCAATTACTTTCAGTCTTGAACAGAAATGTACATAGGAGCTCATGAAAGAAGAGCTTTAGGTTTTAAATAACTATGTGTATATGATATATCCAAAAATATAATACAGTTTTTCTGAATAGCTAAAACATTTCTTGAAACCATCACTCATTTTCTCAAAACCTTAAACACAAATCCAAATACTCAAACTAAATTCACGAAACCTCTGACTCTCCCATCAAAATCAAACAATCGCTGCAAAACCATTTCACTTGCACTCAAAATCAAACGGTGCTCTCAGATCACACACACACACACACGAGTCAATAAAATAAACACTTCAGAGCATTCATTAGACACTACAGAGAAAAATGGAGAACACAGCATCCAGAACAGTACAGAAAAAAGTATATTGTATTGAATAAACTATTTTGCAATTCTGTAAAAATGTATATTAATTGCAACTGAGTAAGGTGAATATATTGTATAGGCCTACTGTACTGCAAGAATAGTATTGTGCTGAATATTGAATAGTACTTAATGTTTGCACTTGGATACTGCAAAGATACTGCAGTTCAACTGCAAAGGTCAAAAAGGTCAAATAAAACTGTAAAT